CTGTTTACAAACTAATAACAATTTCCAATTAGGAGATCTGGGCCAGCCAACACATTAACTAGAGGTACTTATGGCTATACCTGCCCCTACATTAACTGTTGGTCCTTATGGCCTCTTTGATTTCCCACTTCAACAACACTTAGTCAGAGGAACTTACAGCTTAACCTGCCCCCACACTAAGTACAGTGTCTTAAGACTGCAACCAAAATGTTACAAAACTGCAACAAACCCCTTAAATTCTCCAACACCCAGTTTCACTTACTACAAAAGGTGTGAGAGTCACCAGTCAGGTCAGGGACACACAACCAAATGAAAAATGAACAAAATCACCTTCTAACTTGATTGTAGGTCTTGATCCTGAAGGATATTTCTCACCCTGCTCGCTGCGCCAAGAAACTGTTGGGATTTTGTGGTTCCCAGAGAGTCAGGTGCTGGGCAGAATCAAGGGAATTCAATTCAATACTTTATTCAATGTGCACAAAGGGAGAGCCCCTGGTACTAAAATCAGCCAGAGCCCCTCCCCTTGCTGTTTTATAGCACATGGTTACAGGTTACATAACACAAACTTCTAAACCAATCAGATTCAACCTTTCCATATATGGCTTTGTTTGTCACATGCTTGTACTTCTCCACTCCGCATGTTGAGTTCACCCCCTCCCCTTGGCCTTTTCTAAGCTGTTGCTAGGGTGGTGAGCCACAGCATGCGTCTTTATGCATATTTACTTTCCAACCCACATTTTGTTTAAAATGAACACATTCGTACCCTTCACAATGCAGCATTCATACTGCACCCAATCTACTGCTAAGAGTTTTGATACTAATTTCAACATGGGGAGGTCCCTGAAATATAAAACCTGAAAGCCTGTATTCTTACCAGACGTAAATAAGCAATTCATTTTCAGTCTCGGTAAACCGAAATAGACAGAGAAATAATTGCTTTCAAAGAATTAAGAGGAGACAACAGTACAGAATAGCCATTCAGCACAAATAAATGAATACTGCTATTTTGTAGCAGTTTTTCTACAATTAATCATTTATTTTCTGAAAGGCACTGAGGTACAACTACTCTTGCGGAATTGTGCTCAACCATTGATTTTTTTTTGTACGTCTGAAAAGCCTCAGGTCATGATGTTCTTCAGATTTGGAGTCATCTATTGAAATAATTGATGTGCTGAGCATTGGGTCTTATAAATCCAAACTCAGAATTTTGCCTTGGCTAGCATTTTGTTTAATTTTGGTGTGCTTGATTTCAGTGCATCCTTTCCACATTATGTGACTCTATCTGAGCTACCCTGAAGTGCTCCCCTTGAAGGACACTATAGAAATGAAAGATAGAGATGTATTGATTATGTCATTCTATTACTGTGCTCCCATAAAATTACAAACATTCATCAAAAACGGCAACACATGACTGAGCAAAGTAGAGCCCTTAAATGAGTGGCAGTGCTGCAGTGACTTACAAGTAAGTTGTGCATAACTGCCTGAGAGGAGAATTTGGCCTGTAGCAACAGACTGTGTGTTATTAAATTAACTTTCAGTCACTCCAGAACTGAGCCAAACTCAAATTGGTGATCTACAGGTGAAATAGTTCTCCCGCCCATTATCAATCTTCAGAGTCATGAGCAGCCAGTCTCCCATTATTTGATTGCTTCTAAGACATCAGCCTCTGAGTTGAATAATCACATTCTGGGAACTCTAGATAGTTCTAGTGCCACAGGTTCATACTTAACAAGTCAAGGAGCAAAGTCTGAAAATGAGCTGAGTCACAGTGGCAAAGGAAAGAAAGAGGGGTCTAAGTGAATTGAACTCAATGACTTGAATATGGTTCTGTTCTTTCAAAAAAAAGCCCTAGGCAATTTGAAAGCATAAAGATCCCATTGATTTTTCTCATGGTTTTGCAGACCAGGTGTTACAGTTAATGGCTTTAAACGCTCTCCTGGGTAAAAAGAAACAACGTTTTTTATATTTTTAGCAGTAAGTAGGGTCAAATCCTGATCCTTCCTTTCTAGGCAAAATGGACCCTCATACTCTGGAACTAATTCAATGGGGAGTGTGGGCAAAATTTGGGGTGGCTGTGTAGCTGAGTGCACACCTGCTCAGTAAGAAGGAGCTTAACAGGGGCTGCTTGAATGGCTATGTAATGAGGATATGCAGCTGGTCAGGGCCAGAGGATCTTTTACTAAGGTGTCTTTTTGTTCACTATTTGTACAGTGTCAAGCACAATGTGATCCTTACTGGGGCTCCTAGGTGCTATAGAAATACAAAGAATAAGCAGCTCCTCTAATCTTTCCTCTTCTTTGGTGACATGGGTGGAGCTGTAAAGGTGTCTCCATACATTAGGCTGGAGAGCAGCTTCAGTGTCCTTTCTTCTCCCTTCTCAGAGATTGCAGTATCAATTACTCCTATGGGACTTTTCTCCTCCATGGACACTTAGGGGTCTTCTGACAGAGGAATACTAACTGACTTATGAAGAGTGAAAGTTTTTTGTTATTTCAAGCTTAGCCAGTTCCTGTTTGAACTCAATGTTTAAAGTTAGGGTGACTGGAAGAAAAGGGGTCAAAGTCAGTTTTCCCGCTAAGCTGCATGCCTTCACGGATGCACACTAAAAATTTTAGGTCTGCCCACACCATTTTAAGAGCTGCACACCAGCACTCATCGCTCACCTTCCTGTTGTAACCAAAGGTGAGAGGTACTGGTGGCAGTAGCCGGTGGGTTTCTGGTTGTGGGCAGGTGCCCTTTTGCTCTGCCTAGAGCTGAGACACATGAGGTGAGGCTGTTCTGGTAAGGCTGCCTCAGCTGGAACGGGCCTCGTGCAACTGCTGCTTTACTCCAGCTGGAGTGGGGGCTACAGTATTAAAAATAGCACTGCAGGCAGTCTCTGCTCCAGTCCCAGCATACGGTCTCACTGCAGGAACTTCTGGGACCGGGACCGCAGTACTAAAAATAGCACCATGGTTCTGGCTCCAGCCCCCGCAAACTGCTTTCCACGTCAAAGGCAGAATGTTAGAGAAGGGGCAGGGGGAAAGCTAAGGGGAAGATGGGTGAAGAGAGAAAGGGGCTTGAGCTGAGGAGGGGGCCAGGGCAGGAGAAGAAAGGGGAAGGCACCAAGAGGCAGGGTTGAGGAGACACAAATACCAGGGGGCCAAGAGGAGACAATGAGGAAAAGGGCAGGAAAGGGGAGGGGAGGGGAGGGGAGGATAGGAGAGGTGTCAGTGAGGGTGGGAGAAGGGACGAGACAGGGTGATGCTAGGAGAGGAAAGGGGAGGGATAATGGGGGCAAGAGGGAGGAAGAGGAAGGGGAGGAAGGGGTGCTGGGAGAAGGGTTGAAAGGAGGGGTGGGCATAAGGAAGGCAGGGGATGAAGCAAGTCATGTGTGAGGGCACAGAGCAGCATGAGAAGAACTGGGGCAGAGAGTGGTGAAGGAGTGGGCACCAGGGCAGAAAGAGTGCAAGGAGGGCAGGGACAGTGATGGAATGGGGAGACACCAGGAAGGTGCAGGAGTAAGGGAAGATCCAGGTGTCAGGGGTATTGTGGGGGTGAAGCAGAAGGGCAGACACATAGAAGGGAAAGACAGGCACTAGAGGAGAGAGGCAGGGCAGGTGAGTAGAGGGAGATGTTAGGAGAATGGATGGGGGATAGCTACAGATGATCAGAGTGGGGCTAGAGGAGGAGTGGGCATAGGGGGAAGAGAAGGGTGGATGCAGGGGTCAAGTAGGATGGGGAGCGGGCCAGTCTCCAAAGGGCTGAGGGGAGTGAGAAGGGAAGGGACCAAGACAGCAGACGAGGGGGAGGGTGGGAGGGGGCAGTAACAGGCACCAGGGGAGCAGATAGGGCAAGGGGAGGGTAGCAGACATGGCAGCAGAGGGTAAAGGGAGAGGTTTATAATATATTTATTAATAACTTGGGTGCCACAGTGGCACATATCCAAATAAGTGTACATAAACACAATACTGGTGCACAAGACAAAACTCTCTTCACTCATGGGTGGAAAATCTTAGAGGGAACACTTGTCAAAGCATTAGCTTGAGCTTGGTCAGTAAATTAATTTTTGCTCCATGACTTTGCATTTTATTTTCTCAAAGTCTGCTTTCGGAAAGTGCTGTTTTCTAGAGGGACACACAGACAGCTCTAGCAGTCATGGGATAAATGAGGGTCTTAACCCCATGCTATTTGGTTCTAAAGAAAGAGCATCCATTTTCATAGCCTGTGCCCTGTGTGCATTTTGCATTCATAGAACACTAGAACTGGAAGAGACCTCGAGAAAGGCCATTCTACTTCCCTATAGAAAAGTGGCTATCACTGCATGTGATTTGGTTTTGACTATATCGCGGTACTGGTAAAAACAAGAGGCCTGCTTGTTCGACATGCTGAGCATTCTTAACTCCATAGCTGCCACGTTCAGTGTGTGACATTTATGCAAGTCAGTTAAGGACCTAATTGGCCTATTTGCAACTAATATGGATATGACCATAAACTTTAGTTTGTGGCCAGTGCAACTTTTTCTACACAGAGTCAGGGGGAGGACATGGAGGTGCACACAATGTAGCAACTAAGAGGTTGTGAAAGGTAGATGAAGTGTGGGGGAGTATCTAGGAGCAATGGGTGCTGGTGGGGAAGAGCTAGGTGTCTGGGATGCTGGCTGGAAAGTGGGGGTATCTGGGTGCAGTCTAGGAAGTCACTGGGTCCTGTGAGGGTGGCTGGCAGCAATGGATACTGCTGGGGTTGGGTGGATTCTGGGATGTCTGGGAGTACTAAGGGAAGTAACTGGGAAGAAAACTGTGGTGTGTGTATGGTGATTTGGTAGCTGAGAAACCAGTGGCTGAAGTCTCTCTCAAGGACAGAGGATTGAGCTGGGGGTCTCTTTGCAAGGCAGCAACCTGGGCTCTGGCTTGTGGTCTGACTCAAGACCTCTCTGAATCAAAGGTCTGGCCGGAGACTTTGGGGACAAGAAGTCTGTCTGATACAGGAGTGTAGCAACTGGCTGGGAAGTAGGTCCTGGACTTGGTCTAGGGAGCAGAAGACAGTCAAGGGGACCTAATACTGGATCCCTTCACCTTCTGTCCCCACCTAGCACTGCTGCTGCTCCTCTACTCATTGCTGTGACTTGCAACTCAGCCACTTAGGTCCAGCAGAAGGAGCAGCCAGAGGAGAAATGGACAGGTACCTGAAGTCAGGTTCCTAATGGCTGGCAGCAGAAATACAGTAAAGATACATAGCTCAGCTACACATTTGAGATTCATGTGGGGAGCAGCCTTGCAAATTCAACTGAAGACAGCAGGCACTCTGAGGGTATGTCTACACTAGCCCCCTAGTTCGAACTAAGTCCTTAGTTCAAATTACCTGTTACTCCTCCTGGAATGAGGTGTAACAGGTAATTAGAACTAAGGACTTAGTTTGAATTACCGTTTAACTGCCGCGTGTAGCCACAGGTAGTTAGTCCGGACTAGTGGCATTTAAAAATGACGACTGGACGGGAACATGCAAATAAAGCCCGGGATATTTAAATCCCAGGCTTCATTTGCAACTTTGAATGCCTACATTAGCCGCCCCAGTTTGAACTATGGGGCTAGTGTAGACATAACCCTGATTGCTCAGAACTAGAGATGCAAAGAAATGATTAATATTATAGCTGTGAAACCATTAAAAATCTTAGTGGTTACATGCTGCGGGCTCTGCAGTGTAAAGCTTACATTGCAGAGCCTGCAGGAGAGTCAGCTCCCCGGGAGCAGGGCCTGCAGCTGGGAGTGGGTGCATGCCAGAGCTGCCTTGCTCATCCTTCCATTGACTGGCAGTAACAGGGTAAGAGAAGCAGAGACACATTAGCAGTCCTTCCTGCTAGATTTAAAATGACCTGAGAGAGGGAGTTCAATGGTCTCCAGTCAGGGAGTCCTGACCCTTCTCTCTCCAAAATTCTGTTTGAGATGCCAGACTCTGGCTCTCAACCTCCATTGCCTGGCAACAAGTGAGGTCATTTACACCTATGCAAACTGAGCATAAAATGACATCAAAAGAGAATTCTCCACTCACACATTCTGGTGATGCCATGTTACATCCTCTTTGTCCAGGCAGAAGTGACTGAGGAAGCAAGCAGCAGCAACAAAAGAGCACATTTTGGCCATGAAAACTGGACAAACCCCTCCACTTTTGGAAAAATGTCCTGGGTTCTTTCATATCCATGCCAAACATATGGAACTGGATTCTTAAGGTTTAATATGAAAGACTTGTATATCTGTTAAACTGCTGCATGTTATTGCAATTTTCTGCATCTGAAAGAAAGGAAATTTGACATTTTCTGTACTTAATGTTTAAAACATTAAACTTTCCTTTCCATTAAAAGTCCTCTATTCCAAGACAAAAATATCATATCAAGCTGCTTCAGTTTATCATTGTCAGGAATCCAATACAATTAGCTCTTAATTCTGTTTACAAACAATCTTGGTGTCTATCAACACATCCATTATTCTTAAATATTTTCTCTGTAATTCAAGTCAATGAAATATCACTTTGGGTAGGTTCATGTATTGGTAACTTAAACTATTTGCAATTTTGGTATGCTACTGGCTACATATAATACATGGTGTAGTTTCTGCTTCCCAACTGGAGTGAAAAAGGGAATAAAAAGGAATAATGAACAGCAAATGGGAAATACAAGTATTCATAGACAGAAAAAACATTCCTCAAATATTAGTACCGACAACTGTTCATTTGGATTTGCAACAATAGTAAAATCAAGGGTGTAAACAGTTGTTAATAGTTCTATTAAACATTCATATACATTATATAGTATTAAAACAGCTCTAATATTGAGCCTCCTAAATTGTAGTTGTGATATTAGCACATGCACCAGTTTCTCTGTACAACCCACTATCAATCAAAGTGTATCTTAAGTTTCCCATGAGCATCTGGTATAGCAGAGGTTAACATGCTGCTACTGCTAACAGAAATATTCCTTTATCTGAGGAGACAGATAAAAATGTTGCGTTTCTCAAGGTCCCAAGTTCAAAATCTGCTAATGACCTATGCAGGATGTTACCTATGCAGGTACCAGTTTACCAATGATCATAGTGGATTCTTCATCAGTGGTAATTTTTAAAGCTAGACTGGATACTTTTTTCTAAAAAACATCCTTTTAAAATTATTTTGGAGAAGTTCTGTGTTTTACCAAAGGTCACAGTTGATGAGCACAATGGTCCCTTCTGGCCTTGTAATCTGTGAATCCAAAGAATTTGCCTGCACAGATAGACATTTCTATATACAGTTTTTATTATTTGTTAAAACCAGTGACGTACTTAAGGCACACAGTAGCAGACATTGCCCTGAAGGGATTATAATTTATGCCTGCATTTCCATTTGCAAATGCAGGTTTTCTAGAATCAGATATGTTACTCTGCACATTTTTCATGGATAATTTAGAAGTCATCTTTGAAATTTGATTAAGTGAATAGTCTCAGCAACCTTCCAGTTTGGATTATGTTAAATGACATTAATAACATTTTTCATTATCTTTTATTCACGTGTACACATGAGCATCCTCTTATTTTGTAATGCTCTAATACCACATTAAAATAGTGGAGGGAAAACATGTTTTCAGAACAAATTTTCTAAAATCCATAAGCATCAAATGTGTTAGACATAGTTGCAGCATTTTTCAAGACTAATTTAGAAATAATTACTAACTTTCCATTTTCTTTGTAGTGTGATTGACAAGTTCATTTTCGCATTCAGGTATGTGCCCTTTGATTACCATTAAGACACGAAAATGCTTCTTCCCACATTGTGGCTGCACTTACACATGGGAATAACTGCAGTGCTTTGCCTAAAGTACCAATAATTACACTGCAGCTACACTGTAAGCAATGTAAGTGCCTAATGTAGCATTGGTGCTTCCGTGTTATTGAACAGTCACTTAAACGCTGTTATGTTTGACAACTGCATGGTATAATTATATGCTACTTCAAAATCTTTCTTTTACAAAATGCCACTCCAAAAATCATTTTTTCTTTATTTTAAAAGATTAAATGTCTCAGAAATAATGCCTGCGCTGAGCTGAATGCTGCATCACAAAGAACATTGAATCTGTCACTGATCAAGTGAGTATACAAGGCAAAAGACGACAAATGATTTAAAAGATCTGTGGGACCAAGCTTAGACAATCACACTAATGCTCAATTATTACTGTAATAACGGATACAGGAAGTTAGTATTAGGCAGCAAGTTCTGTTGGAATATGCTGAGGATGAAGTCAGAAGATGCTGAGTGCTAACCCTGGATTTTCCCTTGATTCCTTTTGTGGCTTTTAGACAAGTTATATCTCCTTTCTTCCTTAGCTCCCCTCATTGTGAAATGGGAATAGTGATCTCTCCCTCCCTTCCTAAGTGTATTGTGAGGAACAACATCTATACAGTCCTGATCCAGCAAGCATTCTGAGCAGCACCATACCCAAATGTCTTTGTGAAACTTAGCCCTTTGTCTGGAACCCACAAATATACTAACAAAAAATAGAGTTTGGTATTGAATTAGTAGGAAACTCAAGTCAAACAATTCAGGATAATAAACTGTATAAACTTTTAAGAAAACAAGTTATTGAGCGATAGCACTTTATCCTGTTATAAATCCTACTAGAGATCAACACCAGAGCTACATCTTTCGAAAAAGAAAACAATATACTAGGTTTGTTAGGGTGCATCTACACTGCACTCACAGCTCGAAATAAGCTATGCAATTTGAGCTACACAAATTGCATAACTTATTTCGAGTGTATTTTGAAATAGCTTTGGGTATGTCTACACTACAGCATTATTTCAAAATATCTTATTTCAAAATAGTTATTTCAAAACAGCTTATTTTGAAATAGCGTGTCTAGACAAAAAATGCATTTTGAAATAGTGTTTTGCTATTTCAAAATAGCGTGTCCACACTGATAGGACACTGAATCGCATATAAGGCCGGCTGGAACCGGTTCTGGCAGGGCATCAGGTCAGGAGTTACCTTGTGTGGCTGCTGCCTGATGCTATCTGAGACCTGTGCTTAAAGGGACCTCCCCAGACAGCCAGTTCTAAGGTTTCCCTGCTTGCTCGCCTACCTTGCTGGGGAACAGCAAAGAATTTTTGTTCTCTGTATGCTCTGGTTTCCCTCACTCAGGACACCACACCACTCTGCAGCACGGAGCCGGAGCCACCCCGGGGCACTCTGGTGCTTCTCCTGGATGTGTTGCTGCAGGCCTGGCAGCACATTCTGCAGGCAGAAACAGTCTCCTTGATGTGCCCCACTGGGGACTTGTGCCTCATTCCTTCCTCACGTCCTTCCACTTACCCCTCCCTAACCCCCTTCCTGGTGTAAAATAAAATACACATATTTTCATAAATACAAACTATTTTGTTAATAAAAAAAAGGGGGGGGGGGGGGGGGATGAAACTCTGGTAAGACTGGGGAAAGGAGGCAGCAGAGAGGAGGAGAGAGAGTGGGAGAGGGGAGGGGGAAACCTGGGAGGAGGGAGCTGGCACAGGGAGGCAAGGGAAGGAAAGGAGAGGTGAAGCTCATGGCTCAGAGTTGGGGGTCTTGTTGGCCCAACTGTCTCCCAACACCACGGGTGTGGGGGCCTCAGCATCCCTGGGGATCTGGGGAGGGTGGGGAGGTAGAAGCGGGAGGGGCCGAAGGAGTGGGAGGAGGAGCGGTAGCTGGGGAGGCAGCAGGGGCTGAAGCAGCAGGAGGCAGCAAGCTCTGCCCCAGGATCGATGACCACCTGGGGGCATGGACTGTCCTGCCCCCCAGGTTGTGGTCCATGGCATCAAAACAGGGCAGGGGTCTGGGTCTGCCCCTGGTTTGGAGCTGCCTCCTGTGGCCCTGGCATACGCCTGCTGCAGCTCCTTGATTTTCATGCAAACCTGCTCCTGGGTTTGCATGTGGCCTTTGGTGGCCAGGCTGGCAGCCATCTGCCTGTAGACAGTTGCATTCCTCTGTTTAGTGCGGAGATCATGGATGTTGGAGGCATCCTCCCAAACCTGAATTAGGTCTCTGATCTCCTCACTAGACCAGGCAGGTGCCCACCTTTTCCAGCCCCAGGCAGGCTGCTGGGAACTGTCAGACTGGTCCTGCGGGGTGGTGGAGGGCTGGCTGGCACTGGCGCCTGGCTCATGCTGGGGCCACTGGCTCAGGTGTAGTGATTGCTGGCTCTGGGCTGGCAGGCTTGGAGCTGGCACAGGCACTGTGGCCAGAGTCTACCCCTTTAAGGGCTCTGGGGAGGAAGGGAGGGAGAAGAGTTTTCCTAGTTGGAGCCAAAGTGGCCACCAGGACACCCTGGGAGGGGCTGCAGGCCCCCTATTTCGAAATAAGCATCTACACAGCGCTTATTTCAAAAAAGCAATTTCAAAATTGGCACTATTCCTCGTGGAATGAGGTTTACCAATTTTGAAATAAGCCCTCCGCTATTTTGATTTAATTTTGACATAGCGGTTTGGCTGTGTAGATGCTGGTAAAGTTATTTCGAAATAACAGCTGTGTAGACGTACCCTTTTTTCATAATTTGGCACTGTCTACAGAGCACCAAATGTCAAAATAAACTGATATTCCAAAATGTCTCTTACTCCTCGTGGAATGAGATTTACAGGGATTTAGGAATAGCGAGTACGTTACATTTCAAAATAAAAGGTTTGCTCAAAAGACATGGAATGACTATTTCAGGATACCAGAAGTATCCCGAAATAACGCCACAGTGTAGACATACCCTTACAGCATAGTGAGATGACTATCAACTAGATTAGCCTGCTGCTGATGCTGATAATACTCAAAATATGTGTTCATCAAAGATCTTTATAAACATTACTTAATTAATCCAAACAATGCTTCAGTGAGGAAACTAAGTTTTTGTTACTGTCAAAACCGATGAATGCCATTGTAGTTGCTTTTATCATGGATGCCTGCGGAGTAAATCAAAAACCATACACACACTGCTATGTTAGTTTTTAATGTAATACATCATGAAGAGAGTGTTTTGAATGGTAATAACTTCAGAGTAAAATACAAATGTTTATTTAGAAAATCTAATGAGTCTTGTATTTTTAGATACTAAAACTATGTCTTTATATATTTATATTTGTGGTGTTCATTCATATTAATGCAGAATGGCTTATGAGCATAGTAAATAAGAGTCTGAATCATTATTCTTGAAAGGATGATGAAGGAATCAGTAGCTGTTGGGGGACAAGAGGTGGGAATTTGGTGAGGTAAAGAGAGGGAGGAAGGCAAAATGTTTCAGGCTAGGCCAAAA